AAATTAATTTATGTAAAAAAATTTAGTTTGAAAAAATTGTCATTTTCGTTCCTTTTTCCAGCACCTAGCCCATATGTTTGGAACCCCATTAACAACTCTATGGTACGGATGGTACGGAGAGTCGGTGACCAATTACTAAATCTCATAAGAAATTCAATACTACAATAACGATAGATTCAATTTAGGTTAAAATGTAAATTATATAATCGGTTTTATTTTTGATCCTGCATAATGTGTAGTACAATATCAAAATTAAACATATATATATATTTAATCTGCCAGTTTTCTATCTTAAAATTTTTCATATCGAGATTAATATCTGAATTCTTTATGCACCCAAACTTGGCATATCACGAACATCCAAGTATGTGTCGAACACACTTTAATAAACAAATCAAACACATTAAATCTTATTTATTTTACTAGGTTGTATTGACATCATCCTCCGTCTCGAGGAATGTCATCGGTCAGGTTTTTTCAATAAGTATTTTGGCGGATGTAACGGTATTAAAAAAGAACTTAATGAATGCTTAACTGCAGAGGTTTGTGTTTGAAAAAAAATTTTGAGTAAAGTTAAAATTTTACTAAATGGCTCTATTATCGCTCTTAAATCGTGGTTGCTGAACTTTGTCGATGACATGTAAAGTATCAAGTTAAAAGACGAAAAAATGCAGAAGAAGCAAAGAAAAGAAGGGAAAGAGTGGAGGCAGTGTGGAAAGAGATGGATGAAATAAAACAAAAGAAAGATTTGTGATGAGATTAATTTTTTTCATTTATACAATTTACAAACACTGGCTCATTTATTTCTAACATGAATCAGGTTTAGTAAACCGAGCCATATGATATACTTCATGCAATAATTGTAACACGACAGATATAAAAATCGGGTTTAATAAAAAACCCAAAGCTTAAATGAATCATCGTTTTTAAGCAATTATTCAAGAACCAATGATCCAAATTGGCTGAAATTTTTATATGTTATAGCCTAATACCATATATAACTACTTTAAAAATTTCAGCCAATTTGGATTTGTAAAGAGTTGTATCGACTATCGCATTCAATTTTTGCAGATATTAAATTAGAAAAAACCTCAAAATTATGATGACATTAAGAAAGCATGGTATGCATAATAAAAAGATTAAAGGATAACTATTTATTACTGTATTTTAATTCTTTATCATTGGATGTTACATTTAGAAGATTTGGTATAAAAAATTGATCAATAATACACTTGTCCTTTGTTAATATCAACTCATTTGGATTGCTTTTATATTCATGTTGATAATGATATTAATGAGGGATCATACGTATTAAATTTAATATATATGAGGGAATTTTAATATAATTTCAATGTATATACAGTATAGAATTTATTTTATAATTAGGATGATATTAATGGTGTTGATATTAACGAGGATTAAGTGTACTGTATTATAGAGACCATCATATTTGAAAGTATTTAAGTCAGTTAAATTAGTTCGATCAAAGTCTTCGAGCATTGATTGTTATCTGTATAGATTTTATAAACTATTCATCTGCATGTATAATAAATAATGATCATAGAAAAAAAACTTCATATTTAAATCGATATTATGTTAGCTGCTAGTAATTCACTTAAGTCTTTCTTCATATACGTTCATAATTATGAATTATTTCTGGAGTAAAAGAAGAAATTTCGCATAATCTTCATTGCTTATTGATCTGAATCACATTAGTATCGAATCAATTACTTTCTAAGCAATAGTTTACCGTAATTGCGCGTAATAACGCCCCTGCGCATTATTTCAAGTCCTACGCGTTATTTGAAGCGCGCATACACCTTATTTTGAGTAATAAAATTTTTTTTCAAAATATATTATAAAAAGAATTTATCAGAAAATACATTAAGTTACATAAAAATAGCGTACGTTATTTCGGGATGCGCGTGGGTGATATTTTGGGTAATTTTTAATAAAGGCGAATTTCAAATTAACGCCCCGGCCCGCCATTACGCGCAAATACGGTACGTGATTTTATATAAGACTACAATCCTGAAGTTAAATACTATTGCATATTACGTATTTTCGAAAATTTTTTTGGCAGTGATTTTATCCCGGTTAGATGGTCCGCTAATATTTTATACGTTTACAATACAGAATTATACAAATGCAAAAAGTTTATTGAATGGCAACTCTTAAGTATTAAAGACGATTTTAATGATAACGAAAATATCATGGATATGTAATTACTTTATTTTATCACTATGTTTTACCAACGATTCCTTCCTTTTGCAATTTTTTAACTTCATCCTCGGCTAATCCTAATATATCAAATAGAACTTCACGATTATGTTGACCCAAATCTGGGCCAGCCCATCTTGTTTTACCAGGTGTAGAGGTTAGTTTTGGAGACATTGAAGGGATCTAGATGATTAATATTAAATTTTGATTTAATATCACGCACAGCATAAATTGTTCAGTACATACGCACCTTTAAATCCCATCCTTCATTATCCTTGTTAGAGATATGAACTGTTTCAAGTAAATCACGCTCCTGAACATGCTCATCTTCAACAATATCTTTAATATTATATATATAGCCACATGGTACCTCAGCTTTCTCTAATTTTTCTACTACTTCTTTGGAAGTGCAAGTACGCGTCCAATCTGAAATTGCATTATCAATCAATTCTTTGTGTTTAACACGTTCCTTGTTGGTTTCATACTCTGCAGTGGTGAGATCTTCCCTTCCGATAGCTTTCATCAGTCGTTTGTATATTGAATCTCCATTTCCACCAATGATTACATATTTAGAATCTGAACACGGGTACGCGTTTGTAGGTACAATACCAGTGACAGAAGTACCAGAAGGTTGCCTTATCTATAGTGAAATTAAATTTTTTTTTATATATACCAATTATATAATACTATATACAATATTTTTCAAAACATACTTCTCCAAATCTATCATATTCAGGTAAAATGCCTTCCATCATATTAAACATGCTTTCATAAATGGCTACGTCAATCACCTGACCAGTTTTATCACTTGAAGTAATTTTATTTCTAGCCAAAAGTCCCATAACAGTTCCAAATGCCGCAGTCAATCCAGCCACTGAATCTCCTATGGATATATTTTGACGAACCGGTGGCATATCTGGAAAACCGGTTATATATCGAAATCCTGCCATTGCCTTCGTATTATAGATAAATTGTTTCGAGAGAATAAGTTACTTTTTATGTGATAAACTTAAAAAATCTATTTACCTCGCATACTGACGCGAAGCCTGGTTTCGATGCATAAGGACCTGTTTGCCCAAACCCAGAAACTCGCGTGTATATTAACGAAGGATTTGTCTTGTAAATTTCATCTATTATAAGGATTATTAAAATATTGCGATAAGAGTTCCAAATTATACTGTATTCCTCCGAAAATAAGCATCCTTTTTTCTTACTATAATCTCAACTATTAATATGAACGACTTGATATCTAGTTGTTTATTTCTATTATATAAGAGGTGCTTATTTTCGGGTATATATTAATTGTGGGGCGCTTACTTTCGGGGGGTGCATATTTTCGGTGGAATACGGTACTTGTAACGACCATTAACGACCGTTAAAAGCTTACCAGGTCCAAGCCCCCATTTCTCCATCGTACCAGGACGAAAGTTTTCAAGTAAAACATCACATTTATCAGCCAATTGGCGAACTAGTCTATTTAGTCACGTCGAGTAAAATAATTTTACCAAGAAAAAATTACTTTTCAATATTGATCTGTTTGACCAATTGAATACTAAACACTAGGTGAACTTTACTTTCTTCCACCTTCTGTTCGTAGATTTATCTCACATGACTTTTTATTTCTGCCCATTGAGCGAAACCATGGACTGATACCGTCAATATCTACGTTTCGCCAAACACGGATCGGATCGCCTGATCCTGGTGTTTCAATTTTGACCTTGAATATAAACCGTTAATAATTTATCGATAATTATCTTTTTATTCAGGATAAGTCAAATATCCTTACGTACCACTTCCGCACCATAATAACTTTTATGCATAAATTATTATTGAATATATATGAAGTTGGTTAATATGATTAAATTATATTTACCTAAGGATTGTTCCACAAAATGGTCCAGCAATCAACTTTTATCATACAAATGAATTAAAAAATAAAAAAAAATAAAAAATAAATTAATTAATTAAACAAATAATTAAAATCAGTAAATTTTTTTTTTTTTTCACAATTGGTATTGCTATATAATAATATAATATCGCACTTGTCCTAATTCTAGAACACGAACACCATCCAATGGCCCTTTTATATCTGAAGTTTGCGAATTAAAGCGTTTTTGAGAAGCTAAAATAAATGATATATTAGAGAAAATAATGTTTGTTGAGAATAAATCAATGCTTTATTTATATTACCTATAAGACCAGATCCATTTCTTTTTATAGCTTTCTTGAAGTATATAAGTGAATTGGTATTGCGAAACATTTTTTTAATCAAGAACAAATGGATTTACATTATACGTATAGTTTTTTTTTTTTATGTTTCGGGAAATTCGTGATTGGCCAATGCGTCCAGTGTAAAAGAATTTCGATAATCACAAATTTGCCTGCAAAAGATTACTCCGTAACATAATCAAGGTGTTTAGAATTGGTCGGATATCAATATCTGATTTCGGAATTTAAATCGATTATCAGTTTCAACTCAGTACACCCAATAGCTCATGCAACAAAAATTTCACGATTTTGATTGGCTAAGAGCGACGATCAAAAATTAGGCCGGAATTACTCGGAATTTTAGCCGGCCGGAAATTAGTAAACAAATTTGTAATGCCAATCAAAATAGAGAATCTGCAGTGACAATTTTGTTTCGGCAGATCAGATCCGAAGATCCGGATCCACAATTTATAGGATCCGCCGAATCCGGATAGCACATGAGGATCCGTTTGGATCCGTTCACGCTGATTGGCTGTATTTAATTGGTTAATTTTACAGGTATGATTTCCCGTGATAATTAGCATAATTTTTAAAAAGATTTATCGTACTAAAAAATGAAATGGATTTTACATAAAGAAGCTTACAATATGCAATAAAGAATTCGGCACATTTTTAGAAATAGATAAATAATACGTAAATTGATATTTATTATTAATAAACCCAAGCTCAAATTAATCAAAAATTCCAAAAGATTTAAGATTTAAATAAATTATTGTCGCGGCTGATGCTGAAATTGGCTGATGCTGAAATTTTGACTTATTTTATTATGAAATTTTAAAAAATT